AACCTCACGTTTGCCATCTTCTGATGTCCTTGCAGCTTCCCCTCTCCATTTCTAGAGAAGCAATCATGTCTCTCCTTCTCTTTCCCCGTCCATACCTACTGCAAGCACCTCTTGCATAGAACCTAATCCAGAGCAAACCTGACAAGGAGTTCTGGAAAATGTTGTCCCCAAGGGTCAGCCCCTCTGATAAAGAGGAGAATAGAGAAAGGAATGGAGATAAATGTTGATTGCAAAAACGCCAGTGTTGGTATTTTTTAAATTGGTATTTTTTTTAATTGCTGCTGAGGTTGAATGTTTTCCCTAGACTTGCTTACTGGGCTTGCCATTTTGTGGTATACAATGGAGAAGCTGTTGCTTTACAAAGTTCCATTTTTGCAGGGAGAAAAAAAGCCAGTGTAAGGGTAGACTTGTGTTTTATGTCTACCTCAGGTGACCCTGCTGAAAACGATTGAGACCTAAGTCCTCAAGCTAGTGATAGACACCACTATGCCTGCAGCAACCGAATACCAAGTCCCCTAACCAGGAGGAGAATCACTGCTCCCAGCTACTGAGCAATTACCGAGAGCCAGCACCGCACTGGCTTATCCCATGGCATCCGTTTTACAGTGAAGGGATAGGTTTAATTTTTTTTTTAATTTCCTCGTGCATTTGTCCTCTTCACAGTAATCCAGTTCTTCCCTGTGCAGCATTGTCCCTTGTCAAAGCTGGAGCCTAAGACTTGTTGCCTCGAGGAGGGGGCTGGAAGGATTCCAGCTAGAACAGAGAAGACCATCTGCTCGGAAGAGGGCTGAGCTTAGGAAAGTCCCTACAGAAAGAAAGAAGGGGACGCCTTCCCTATGACTTGAAGTGAGGTGGAGGAAGGGCAGGAGTCAAGATGCTAGGGTCCTGACACCCCCACACTCTAGGGTCAAAACCCTGGAGTGGGATGAGGATGGTGTATACAAATCCCAAATACGTTTAAAGATCCAAGAGCAGGAGGGATTTGGCCTGGCTGCTAAGGGTGCCACAGGCCACCCGGGGCCATGGTCAACCTGATACCTGAGCAATAGATCAAAAATAGTGAAGAAATTGAATTATCTCCAGAAACTGATGTGTATGGTTAACCCTAGGGAAGGTAATATGCGGGAGCCCTATGAAGGAGGCTTTGAATTCTGTGCATTATGAACCCCATGTGAGACAGGAAAGAAGGGGGCAGGGCATAGCTATTAATGGAATGACACAGCAGTGAGCACCAAGTTGGTGGGAAATCCAACTCTTAGTAGAACTTGAGGCCCAAGATGGCGGGAGATTTGACTTCAGTAGACCTTGAGCTGCATTGTATGCTCATTGTAATATATTAGCATGGTAAATGACACACTCACAGGCATATGGTAGTTCCAAGGCTAACCGTAAAAGGTCCAAAAGTGGGCGGTACCCAATTCCCGGGAATCCCAGCCCCTTCCCCAAAGTAGTTGGAATAATCCTTCCACTTAGTAACATATGAAGTTACTGAGCATATAAAAACTAACAACCCCACACCTCGTGGCTGCTCTCCCTTCTTAGTGTGTATTGAGTGTGTACCTACTTTTACTTTAAACTAAACACCCACCCCCACGTCTCGTGGCCTCTCTGGCCTTCTGAAATGGCCTATACTCAGTCTATGGAGTGTGTATCTCTCTGGAATAAATCTAATTTAACTGTACTATGTTTCACTCTTGAATTCTTTCCTGTACAAACTCAAGGAGCCTCACTTGATGGGGCGAGTCCCAGAGACTCGTCCAAGACCTGGGACGTGGCCATTCTCTCGTGCCCCATTTTCTTGTATCACATGGATGCCTGTGGTAAATTACAAAAATATTCACAATTTTTTACCCCCTCCGTGCATGCACACCCTCTGCAATCTGACTTTGCTGCTCCTCCTATCAAGAAGTGAAGTCTATTTTCCATCCCTTGAATCTGCTCTGGTCTTGTGACATGCTTTGGCCAAAAAGCAATGTGGAAGAAGTAACACTGTACCTTGTAACTTCTGCTGCCTCTCAGAACTGCCCCCTCAACTGAACAAGCTGCATGGCAAACCCAGTCAAAAATCAGCTGATGATGGACATTTGGGTTGTTTCCATATCTTGGCTATTATAAATAGTGACTGCTATGAACATTCGGGTCCATGTGTCTTTTTGAATTACATTTTTCTTCAGCTATAAGCCCAGGAGTGGGATTGCTGGATCAGATGGTAAGTCTATTTTTAGTTTTTTAAGGAACCTCCATACTGTCCTTCATAGTGACTGCACCAATTTACATTCTCACCAAAATTCATCAAATTGTGCACCTAAAATATGTGTGGTTTACTGCACAGGAACTGCACCACAATAAAGGTGTTATCAATCAAGCAATCATAATCACCAATGAGGAAAAAAAATCGGCTGAGATGTGTGGAACCATGGAGCCAAGCCCAGACAAAAATATCAACCCACAGAATCACCAACTAAATAAATGGTTTTATTGTTTTAAGCTCTCACACTTTTGGGGTGGTTTGTTACACAGCAATACAATGCCTTACTTAGTAAAATAAAATTAGTTTTAAGTAAAACTGGAGAAGAAAAGAAATAGCTGAAAAAGGACTTCACATAGTTGAGGGGCTGATTCAAAAGTTCCTTGTGAGGATGACATGGAGGTCCCGAGGGTCTGGTGGAATTTTCTAGGCCTGTGGTCTGTTCAAAGAGTCTGTAATACACAGGTCTCCTCAACAGGAGAACAAGTAGAGGAAGCAATGGGGTTTAGCAGTGGTGCCAATGCAAGGTCCCAAAGGGCCACACAGGACCAGCCACACCTCAACAGACCCAGTGCCAAGTGCTCAGGAAGCGGGCCAGACCAACCTCCTAGACGGTACTCACACCCAGACCCCCAGACAGTGTTGCCAAGTCCAAACTCGTTCTGCTCGCTGCACAACAGGCCAATAAATCTGGAGATGCGGTGTTGGGGCCAAGGAATAGCGACTTTATTCGGAGAGCCGGCAGACCGAGAGGATGGCAAACTAATATCTGGGAGAACCATCCTGCTCTAGTCAGAATACAGGCTCCTTTTACACAAAAAATAAGGGAGGGAGAGGGAAAATAAGGGAGGGGGTGTGGTTGATTTTTGTAATCTTCTTGCTGCAGGCATTCTTTGTTCTTGCAGCCATCCCCGTGGGCTAGGTCGTGGTGTCCCTGTAAACCTCCAGCAAAACAAAGATTATTCTCTACTACAGCAGTTCTCAGACCCAAGTCCCAGCATCCCACCCCAGGAAGAAACTTCAGCTTCCTCTGCACCCAGGACCATGTGGAGTAAGAAGGAAGGAGGGAAGCACTGAAAGCTCGAGCTTTTTTTTTTTTTCCTGGAAAAGATCCAGTTAACCTAAAAGAGAATGATGGCGGTATATACCGTCCTAACTACACCCCATACATGCAACCATATTTCTATTTTTATTTTACAGAGCAGGAAACTGAGGCACGAAGTGCTTAAATGATCACTAAGGTCACACAGGCAGATCTGGGTAAAGCCAGGATTTGACCCCAGACAGTGCAGCTAAAGGGGCTGTCAGAGCCTAGAAGGGCCTGGGATTGCTTTAATTGGCAAACAAGCCCTTTCTTCCTAACAGCCAGTGTGATGGGTGTTAACCAAGGAAGTTTAGATCAGTTGCAGGAAATTAAGATGCCCCAAACATAAATTTTTGCATAATCTGATTGTGTTACATTTGGACCCCAGGTAAAGGAGGTTTAGGGAGTTGCCCATGATTATACAATTAGAAATGGGGTCTGTGCCCACCCTGCACTGCCAAAAGGAGGCCTCCAGGAGGCCTGTTTTATAATAAATCCTTTTTCTTAAGCAAATGTTACCCCCTCTATTTCCTACGTATCAATCAGTAAGGATGGCTATTATGCTTAGCCTTTACATTGTGCTGAGCCCTCCAGCACATATCTCAAATAATTCCTGCAATACCATTCTTAGGAAGGGATCATTTTACAGATGAGGTAGCAAAGGCTCAGAGATGACAAGTGACTTCGTTTTTTTTTTAACATTTGTTTATTGAGTAATAGTCACTTTACAATGTTGTATCAAATTCCAGTGTAGAGCACAAGTTTTCAGTTATACATGAACATACATATATTCATTGTCACATTTTTTTTCACTGTGAGCTACCACAAGATCTTGTATATATTTTCCTGTGCTTTACAGTATAATCTTGTTTATCTATTCTACATTTTGAAATCCCAGTCTGTCCCTTCCCAACCCCCGCCCCCTTGGCAATCACAAGTTTGTATTCTATGTTTATGAGTCTGTTTCTGTTTTGTATTTATGTTTTATTTTGTTTTGTTTTGTTTTGTTTTTAGATTCCACATATGAGTGATCTCATGTGGTATTTTTCTTTCTCTTTCTGGCTTACTTCACTTAGAATAACATTCTCCAGGAACATCCATGTTGCTGCAAATGGCGTTACGTTGTCGGTTTTTATGGCTGAATAGTATTCCATTGTATAAATATACCACATCTTTATCCAGTCATCTGTTGATGGACATTTAGGCTGTTTCCATGTCTTGGCTATTGTAAATAGTGCTGCTATGAACACTGAGGTGCAGGTGTCATTTTGAAGTAGGGTTCCTTCTGGATATATGCCCAGGAGCGGGATTCCTGGGTCATATGGTAAGTCTATTCCTAGTCTTTTGAGGAATCTCCATACTGTGTTCCACAGTGGCTTCACCAAACTGCATTCCCACCAGTGACAACAAGTGCCTTTGAAAGGTCACACAGCCAGGAAAAGGCAGGCTCAATTCTTGATCCACAGTTGGACTGACTTGCGGGCATACTATGACAGCCATGCTCATCTCCCTCCCAGGGTGCCAAAGACAGGGCCTGGAAAGGGGCATTAAGGTTTTGGCACAGTGATTACAGGAACTACTTGCCCAGACACAAAAGCCGGAAACCCCTCCACCCATCTTCTTCCTCTTGCACCAGCAATCTTGTCTTGCTGTAGTGAAAACACTTCCCCAAGTAGCCTTGGCCACGAGAAGCAGAAAAGGCCTTGTCCAAGACCCCACTTCAGAGTCCAGCCTCCAGCAGAGGGTAGAATGGCAGCCAGTCTAGAGGACCACAGATGGCGCCCTGTGGCCCTTGTGATGCCCACCCCTCCCTGCCTGGCTCACTCACCTCCCTGCATCCGGCTGCTGGCACTGCTCCTTGTCCTCTCAGGTGAGTAGGTCTGGAACAGAAGAGGGTCCACCCCTGGCTCATCCTATAAAGGGGCCCCAGCAGGGGCTTGACCCCACCAAGATGGAGTGGGAGGAGGGAGATGAGAGCTTTCCTGATCCCAGCAGAGCACAGACCAAGTGTCCAGAGAAGGAGAACTTTGGGGACAGCACAGGGATCCCAGGCTCGGGGCTCACACTGATGGGCTTCACCTCGGCCACTTGTGTGCCCATGTCAGATGCTCTCCTATAGAGAGCCACTCATGGGCCCTTTCCTAGAGGTGCTGTGAGTATTAAATATAAGAATGGTGAGCTTCAGCCCAGGATCAGCTACATAATTTGCCCAGCCCAGCGCAAAATGAAAACAGGTCCTTTGTATAAAAATTATTAAGAACTTTATGACAGCAACAGTAGAGCATTAAGGCGAGCATGAGTTCCTTCTAAGCACGAGGCCTCTTGCAACTCTACAAATCAAACATCCACGAGCCAACAGGGCTGTATAAAATGGGGCTAATTCTAGGACCCACCTCATAACTTTGGAGGATTCAACAAAATAATACCTGTAAATACTTGGCACAATGTAAAGATTTAATAACTGATGGCAATTATTATCATATTCATGTCTTCCCTAAGTCAGCCTAAGGCTGAGTTAGCCTGAGTTTTGGGGCTCCTGGGTACAGCTCAGCCTCTGAGCCCAGAACCCTCTGATCCACCAGACAAGCTGTGTAGCTCTTAGTGGGCTCATTCCATCCCCTGCCCATCTGGGTCTCTGCCCGACACCCTACTGAAATCTAGATTCTGTTCATCATACCTTGGGGCCCCCAGGATGGTCACCCCCAAGAGAAGCCCCTGTGGGGTCCAGGTGTGGAGTCAGACCTGGATGCTCCCTCGCTCACTGGCTGTGACTTGAGGACCCTTCTCTTCTCCAAGCTGGTTTCCTTGATTATAAAGTGTGAATCATAATTCCTAGTCTCTCATTTCACAAATACTTTTGAGTGTCCACTATGTGTTAGGCAGTAAGCTGGGAAATCATGTATCAAAATGAACTGGGATCAAATATATTCAAAATATTTTTGGAAAATGTTGATTTCTACCAGGCTTTCAAAAGGGAACCCCTTGACAGGGATCATGAAAACCAGGGTAGGCAGGTGGAAAATATATGGGAAGGAATCCCAGAGCTGTGGGAAAGGGTTGGTCCAGTTCCACGGACATGGTACAGACAAAGCTCCCAGGGCATTTCCCAAAGTCCACATGACAGCACGGAAGGAGAATCAAAAAGGGGAAAGCGAGAAGGGACATGGAGCCTTATTCCAGGCTCCAGTTTCCTCCCTGCCATTTCGCTTAGTCAGACGTGCCCTAGCTGGGATAAGAATCATGGGACTTCCTGAACCCTCGCCTTCTCCCAGTGCCTCTTCTCCATCAGTTCTCCCTTTCTCATCACACACAGAAGCTTCATCTTCATAAATTTGTTAACAGCTTTACTGAGGTGCAATTGACATACAATGAACTGTACATATTTAAGGAGTACAGTTGACACTTTTTGTGGGCATTGGACATGTTTCACATTTATGAACTTATCGCCCAGATAATCAAGGTGATGAATACATCTAACACTTCCAAAAATTTCCTGGTGATTCAGCCTTTCCACTCCTCCTCCTCCTCCTCCTCCCCAGGCAACTGCTCATCTGCTTCCTGCCACTATAGATTAGTTTGTGTTTTCTAGACTTTTATACAGCAAACATCATACATCATGTATTCCTCTTTGCGTAGCTTCTTTTACTCATCATAATCATTCTGAGATTGATTCATGTTGTTGCACATGTCAATAGTCACATCTTTTCATTTCTATCTACTGTGGGGGTAAATCACAGTTTGTTTTACCACTCACCTACTGTCAGACATTTGGGTTGCTTGCAGTTTGGGGCTATTACATATAAAGCGTCTGTGAACATTTGTGTAAAAGTCTTTGGGTGGACATATGCTTTCATTTCTCTTGGGAAAATACCTAAGAATAAAATGAGTAGATCATGTGGTAGGTGATTATTGAACTTTTTAAGACACTGCCAAAATGTCTTCCAAAGTGGTTGCACTATTTTACGTTTTCACCATCAGTGTATGGGGATGGTGTTTCCCCCGCATCCTTGCCAACACTTGGTATGGTCAGTCTTTTCAATTTTCAGTTGTTCTGAAAGCTGTGTAGTAATATCTCATTGTGCTTTTAATTTGCATTTGTCTAATGTGTAATAATGTTGAACATCTTTCGTGTGCCTCCTTTTTGATGAAGGTCTGTTCAACTCCCATTTTTAAATTGTGTTTCTTATCATTGAATGTTGAGAAGTCTTTATATATTCTGGTTGCAAACCTTTTTATCAGATGTATGCCTTGCAGAGATTTGCTCCTACCCTGTGGCTTGTCTTGTCATTCTTTCACAAGTGTCTTTTGAGTTCCTTTCAAACAAGAGTTCTTAATTTTTATTAATATAGCCACTCCAGCTTTCTTTTGATTAGTGTTAGGATGATATATTTGTCCATCATTCTCCTTTTAACGTATTTGCACATTTCTATTTAAAGTGGATTTCTGACAGGCAACGTATAGTTGGATCTTACTTTTTTATCCAGTCTGACAATCTCTAACTTACTGGAAGTATTTAGACCATGTACATTTAAAGTAATTTTGATATGACTAGGTTTACTGCTAACTTCCTGTTTGGCCTACTGGTTCTTTGTTCTTTTTTCCCCTCTTTTTCTGTCTTCTTTTGGTACTTTAATATTTTATAAGGCTATTTTACCTCCTTTATTAGCTTATTAGCTATAACTCTTTATTTTGTAACTTAGTGGTTGCTTTAGGGTTTATAATATATTTCTTTAACTGATCACCATCCACCTTTAAGCGATATCGTACCATTTCACATATAGTGTAAGAACCTTAAGATGGTATATTTCCCTACCCCCCCGCCTTTATTCTATTGCTGTATTAAATTTACTGATATATGCGTTATAAGCCTCACAATAGAGCAGTATTATATTTTATTATTTGGGAGCCTAGCTTTTCAGATTTGCTGGATGGGACTAGAGTACTTCTCTCTGGGTTGAATATTCTCTTCTGTAGTCTACCCATTGCCCCATCAGTCATGAGGTTTTCCTGTCCGACAGGTAGGAACTGGCAGTATTCCCAGCCCTGCCCTGAGCGGCGGGCACAGTTTAGTGCATACATGTGAGGAAGCAGCCTGAGGCCAGGGAAAGGACCACCAGAAAGTATCAAGAGAACAAGATCCGACTGATTCAAATCACTGTGTTTGGGGGTGAGTGTTGCTGAACTTCTTGGAAGTAAGGACACCAAGGACAAACAGAATCCCTAGGATTAAACATGGGGTGTGAACTTGGTCACAAATGTGAGGCAGTTCTTAGTGGCTAGTGACGCATTCTTAGCTGAAGATGGGCAGGAAAAGAATTAGAATTCCACAGCCCTTCCCCTGATCCTCTTAGAAGGGAATGTTTGCTTCATCTTTCTGCTCCTCCACCTCACTCGAAACTGAGAAACACCATGAGATACTGCACACTTAAGTCTTAGAGTGAGATCGAATTATTCCCAAGGACTGAGGGGAGCACAGATTAAGGGAAACTCAGAACACAAAACTGATGAGCCTGTGGTGAGCAGAACTTTGTCACCTGATCTGAGTCCAAATCCTGGTCATGACATCTACTGAATGCACGGTTTCCCTCAGGTTTCTTCACCTCTCTGAGCACTAGTTTTCTCTCAAAAATGGAGGACCTCACAGAGTTCTTGGATGGAGTGCCTGTGGTGATGTTCGTAACCCAGGTTGTAGGTGTAGGAGAACTTCCACGGGAGGCCTCGGCCCTCTTTCTCTGAGCCCAGTCTCAGGCCAAACTCAACCGGTCAACCTATCACCAAGCCAGACCCACTTCACAACACATCAACAGGTGTTGTAGTGTGCTGAAGAAGCCACAGGAGGCAGGAAGGGCCTCTACACCGAACATCACAGCACACAAATTTTACATGATACATTTGAAGGTTAAGAGCAGTGACTCCAGAAACAGACTGCAAGGGGTTGGATTGAGGCTCTGTCACCTTCTTTTCAGCTGATATGTTAGTTTGCTAGGGCTGCCATGACAAGGTACCACAGGCTACGGTTTTAAACAACAGAAATTTATTTTTCACAGTTCTGGAGGCCTGAGGTCCAAGATGAAGATGTGTGGAGTTGGTTTCTTCTGAGGCTGTCTCGTTGGCTTGCAGATGGCTGTCCTCTCTCCATGTTTTCACATGGTTTCCCTCTGTGTGTCTATCCTAATCTCCTCTTCATATAGGGACACCAGTTATATCGGGTTAGGACCTACCTGGGTGACCTCATTTTAACTTAATCACTTATTTAAAGACCTTATCTCCAATGCAATCACATTCTGAGGTAACAGGGGTTAGGACTTCAATCTATGAATGTGGGAGGGAGGCACAGTTCAGCCCAATAGACAGTAATCCTGGGAAAGTTACCCAACCTTCCTGGGATCTCAAAATCTTCTGCTGTGCGATGGGGATGATGCTGCCCAGCTCAAAAGAGTGTTGGTGGAATAAACAAGACCTGCTGTGCCTGGCACATGGTGAGCTCTCAAGCGCCACCTATTACTCATAAGTTCTCCGTTCAATAGCTCTGTGCTCTCTCTCTCTCCAGCCAGCTGCCTCATCTCCTCTTTTACTCCGCTTTCCACCAGGACCCTTCCAGTGTTCTGAGCACCTGTTCTCAGCCAGCTAACAGCTGGTTTATGTTAAGCTTGCCTCTTAGGGCTCCAAGTCCCTCCCGCCCAGCAAGAGACCTTTCTTCCTCTGTTGCAGGACCTTCTGAGCAGAGCAACGGGGATGAGTGGCAGGTGCTGCAGCCCGAGGGCCCCATGCTAGTGGCAGAAGGTGAGACCCTCCTGCTTAGGTGTGCAGTAGTCGGATCCTGCACCGACGACATGATAAAATGGATCAAGGTGAGCAATCAGGACCAACAGGAAATTTATAACTTCAAACATGACCTCTTCCCCGGAGTGACGCCCATGACCCAGAAGACACTGGAACCACTTAACTGCGACTATTCCATCTATATCCACAAAGTCACCAGCGAGCATGCTGGAACCTACCACTGTGTGAGGTTTGATGGCTTGAGTGAGCACTCAGAAAGGAAGCTGGGTGAGGGCACCTCAGTGCTTGTGAAGGGTGAGTATCAGGTCCTGCAGGTCATTGCATTCTGTTCTGCCTCCCAGTATCAGCCACCCTTATCCACAGTCATGCGGTACACACAAAATCTCAGTGGCACACAGCAACTAGTATACCTCACTCACGTTTACAGGCAGCTGGGGTGGTTCTGTTCTACATGTCTCATTCCAGGGCCCAGACTGGCCAGAGTACATATTTCTCGTGGAGATGGCAGAAGCACAAGAGGGCAAGTCCCAACCCCCACAGCACATTTCAAGCTTCTGCTTATATAATGTCTGCTAACAGTCCATCCATTGAAGCAAGTCACATGGCTAAGGTCACAGTCAAGAGACAAGGAAGTGTACCCTGCCACCATGAGGCCACGGCAGGAGTATTGCTGTACCACACTGTCAGAGGGGAGTCAGGAACTGGGGCTGGTCACTGAATCTACCACACTCCCCAAGTAATCAGTCATGCTATCTGTGAGTCCACCTTTGGTGACTTGGGCACTCAAATCCTGGGTCTGTCATTCAATGGAAGTGTGTTCTTAAATCAGTCACTTCAGCTCTATATCCATCAAGTGCTTAACCTGTAAAATAGGCAACATAATTCCCACTTCAAAGGTCATTCAGTGATGAAATAGAAGCATGGGTGTTTGTGAAACCACCCTGTAAACTGCTGATGTGGAGGGTATCTATGTGCGTGTGTTGGGGCGGGCGGTGGGGGTGGGGGTGGGGGCTCATTTTAACTTAATGCAAGAATTTCAGGAAGTCTTCTCTGACTCCTTCCAAGCTGGGACAGATGCCTTCTCTTAGTCCAGCAGTCCTCTGAGTTTCCAGCTTCAGGGGGATTTTCTGGACCGTCTTCACCACCAGACTGAGCACTCCTTTGGGGCAGGACATCTGTGTGTCTTGCCGAGCTTCCTTTCCCCAAGTCCTAGCATCAGCACATAGTAGGTACTGAGAACTTCTTCACTGAGGGAATCAGCTAGTGAACAATGAGGGAATGCAGGAGCGAGTGGCTAAGTGAAGAAATCGGAGAGGGAAAGGGAGGGAAGCTATGAGGGAGGAAATGAGTGGACTCGGAAGGAAGAGCAGGAGCAACAAAGTCCTCTCTTTGGTTTCAGGAGCTGGAGACCCAGAGCCAGACCTCCGGATCATCCAACCCCAGGAGCTGGTGTTGGCAACCACTGGAGACACTGTCTTCCTGAACTGTACGGTGCTTGGAGATGGTCCCTCGGGACCCATCAGGTGGTTTCGGGGCACTGGTCTGAGCCGGGAGGCCATTTACAACTTTAGAGGCATTTCCTCCCCCAATGTGACAGCGGTCCAGGCCTCCAACAGCGATTTCAGCATTCTTCTGCACGACATCTCCACTGAGTCTGCAGGCACTTATTATTGTGTAAAATTTCAGAGGCAACCCAGCAGGCAATACCAATCTGGACAGGGCACCAGGCTCAGAGTGAAAGGTGAGACAGGTGGTCCAGGAGGTACTGGGGGAGAGGGGGAGGTGGTCCACAAGGAACTTTTTACCATGTCCCAAACAAGCCAGCTCTTCTTAGCCTCAATCCCTTTACATAGGCTGTTTCCCCCTGCCTGGACTCCCTTCTTCTTTTCTGTGAAGAACTCCTACTCATCCTTCAAGGCCCAGCACAAATAGCCCCTCTTCTGTGAAACCTTCTCCTTCTCACAGGCAGTTAATTTCTCCCCATTCAGGGCTCCACAGAACTTTGTACATACTGTTAATGATTCAACAAACATCTCTTACATGCCTGTTGACTGCTCTACACTGTACTAGATGCTGCAGATACTGCCATGATGCAGACATTGTCCCTACCCCAGAGATGCTCAATCAGATCTAACTAGTCCTTCATAGTCACAGGGTTTGACTTCTAGTCCCCATCCCAGGTAGAAACTAGCATATTCATCTCAGTGACCTCAGTTCCTAACACAAGGGCTCACGAAGTGGAGGGATAGAAAGAAAAGGGGAAAGTGAGACTGCTTCTCTCCCTTGCAGCAAAGCGCACCTCTCCCGAAGAGTCAGAATTCACCAGTGAACGTGTAGTCAAGATGTCTCCATCAGGTGAGTGTATCTACCTCCAACTAACTGGAGTTAACCAGTCCTACACATGTAGGGGGTACCAAAGATGGCTTGGCCATGGGAAGAAAGCAGTCCCAGACTTCCAGAGCCTATCTGCCACCAAGAAAGTTCCCAGGACTCCATCTCAGCTGCAGAACCAGAACCCAGAGAACCATGTTAAAGCTCAGTGGAAGGAAGGACTTTCTAACAGTGCTAACTGTTCAGTGGGCAGTCTTGCTTGCAAGGTAGTGAGCTCCCCATGATTCAGTGCAAGGATACACCGCGAAGCTGTGCATAACTGTGCTGAAGAATGTGGCTTTGTAGCCAGCCTCCCTGGATCGAGCCCTTTGCCAGCTGTGAGATTGTGGACAGGTTGTCTCCCTACTTGACTCTCTGGTGTCCTATGCTGTGCACTCGAGGGCATTCAATAACTGAGGGGAACTTGGAATAGAGGTGACCTGGTTAGCCTCCCTGATGCTCAGCCCTGTTCCTGCCACTCTTGGGAGCCAGAGCACCTGGTCCCATCACTGCTCTGATACACATGGCCCTGAGCAAATCACTTCCCTACTCGGGGTCTCTCTCCTCATCTATACAAGTTGCTGTCCTACCTTGCATGATGAGTTTGAGGCTCATAGAAGGCAGTTAGGAAGTGCTTAGCTCAGGACCTGGGACAGAGGAGCTGAGCAGCCAATAATGAAAGCAGTTTTCTAATTATTATCAGAGCTCAGGGATGCAGTCAAGGTGATTAAAGGTATAGGTAGGATATTGGGCAAAGCCTCTTCGAGCCTGGGACAGGGAAAGGGGTGGTCTTTGATCTCTTTCAGTGTAGAAACGGTGTGGCCCCAGAGTTTATACAGAAGCTGAGTCCAACTTCACCATGGGGGCTCTGAGCTCTGGGCTGTCAGGGACTCAACTGGGGTCCTTCCTCAGCCTTCCCCTGTGTCCCCCAGGCCTCCTGTCCATGCTCACACTTGTGGTCTTGGGGCTAAAGGCAGTGACCTTGGCTGTACTTCTGCTGGTCCTGGTTGCCCGCCGGAGGAGCCCTTGACAAGAAGACGTCAAAACTTCAGGCCCAGCAGAGCTGTGCTCATCTTAGCATGGGGTGTTGGATGAGGGGTCAGCCCCAGAGTGGATCCTCTGAGTCAGAGAGGGCTCAGGGCTCCCCAGCCACTTCTCTGTCTCCAGTTCCAACCTCTAGATGCCCCCAGACCACATGACGAACTCCGGGATCACTACACCTGATTTCAGTTCACTTGGTGTAATTCCCCATCGGGTGCTGGGCTCCCCTCTGATGTGCCTTCCTCTCTCTTCTCAGCCTGTTCAAGCCCTCTTTGTCCTTCAAGGCCTTGCCCAGGTCTCTCTCAAGGCCCCTGTCCCTGCTGCAGCCCCTTCTGGAGTGCCCATCCCCTTGCTCTCTGCTCCATATTTTCTCATTCTTCAAGATCCAACTTGGAGTCCTTCCCAAAAGGTTTCCCTGAGCGTCTCTGAGCTTGCCCAGCCAGACCACCTGTGCCCCTCCATCTACATCCTTCTCTCCTCTTTTCCTGCCTTCTTTTCTTCCCTGCTGTGGCTGGCCTGGGTGGCTGTAATAGTTAGAATACAGAGTTGACAACTTTAACAAAACTGTTAAGTAACAGTGGCTCAAACAGTGACTCGAGAAAGTTGGTTTTGGTAGTGATTTTCAAGCATAAGAAGGCCAGGCAATTAGGGGGAACCCTGGTATTGAGACCCAGGATTCTTTGATCTTGTTGCTACCAGGTCCACATCCCAGGCAGAAAGACCAGGGAAGGAGGCAGTGCAGGAGAGCATGACATTTTCTTCCAAGGGCAAAGTTAGAAATTTGCCTGCATTGTATGTAATTGGCTGGAATGTTGTCACATGGCCACACCTAGCTGCAAGAAGGCTGGGAAATGTAGTCTTTATTCTGGCAAGAGTGTGCCCAGCTGAAATCCGTCACTGGAGAACCAGAGAGTTAATATCAGTAGATAACCAGTGATGTCCACCTCCGTGGCATAGAGGCAGCTTCTTCCTTGTTCCATGGGACACCTGAGTTCAGTTCCGAGCAGAAATGGCACCTCTTTGTACCACCTCCTCCACTAGGGCAGCATGATGAAGGGGAGTAGTTCTCAAGAAAAGTATATCTTTCTCCCCAGGGGACATATGACAATGGCTAGAGACATTTTTGGTTGTCACAACTTGGGGGGGCACTGTTGCCATCTAGTGGGTGGAGGTCCAAAATGCTGCTGAATATCCTATAATGCACAGGGCAGACCTCACAACCAAAAAGTTACCTGGCCCAAAGTATCAGTAGCACTGAAGTTGAGAAGCTCTGGTGTAGGTGAAGCAGGCATGCCCTGAAGTCAGACACATCTGATTTCTAATCTTGAAGCTCCTACTCCCTCCCTGTGTGCCATTAGTAACAAATCAGTCATTGCACCTCTTAGAACATAAAGTGGACTCTGCATTGTATAAGAAGTGATTCAATTCAGCATTGACTGAGGGCTTCCTAGGTGCCGTGTGCTCTGTGTATGGTCAGTGCACGAGAACTCCCTTTTCTCTTTCCACGCAAACACTTAGCACCTACCATGTGGGGGAGTGGAGCAGTCTGGATGTTTTTTGTTATAACAAACAGAAAAACAGCTTGAACAAAACTAAGCCTAAGGGGCCATTAATTTAGTCTCATGTTTTATGCCAGTTTCAGTGTATCTTGATGACCAGTGTTGTGGGTGGACCAGCCCTTGTTGTTCTTATTATGATTGCAAGATGCCCTTCGGTGATAGCCATCACGGGACTCTGAAAAAATAGTTTATTACTTATAAGACCTGTAAATTACACAGCACTCCTGGAGGAGGTGAGGCGGGGGCATGTCACACAGCGAGGTGGCCAAGGTAGGTCAAAGTTAGGGAGAGAGAGGAACGGAGGGAGGGGGAGAGAGGGAAGAGAAAGCATGCCTGAGGTTCTGTTTTATTGGGTTTGGTGGGCTCACTATTGGTGAATTTAAAACATAAAAGCAAAAATTTAAAGTATAGGAAGAGAGGGGAAGGGTGTAGCTCAGTGGTAGAGTGCATGCTTATCATGCACAGGGTCCTGGGTTCAATCCCCAGTACCTTCAATTTAAAAAAAAAAAAAAAGCCTGATTACCTCCCCTCCAAAAGAGAAAATACAAGTAAGCAAATAATAAACAAAATTTTAAAAAACATGACTGTGAATTACATCTCAATAAAGCTGTTTAGATAAATAAAAATAAAGTGCGGAAAGAGAAAAAAAACAAGTAGCTCAAATGATGGGTTATTGAAATCAACCAAGATCGCTAAAACAAAGGAGCCTCAGTTTGGAGAGGAGCCTGACTCTTTATCTAACGTGAGGCTGGCAATGTGTTTATTGGAGATAAACACATGGAAGGGGATGCCTCTTTGAAATGGACGCTTCCGCAATCAAAGCTTAAATCAGACAGTCGCATTATAAAAAAGGAAAAAGAAACAACTGTCAGGGTTTACACTGCACTGAGAATTGAATAAATCATTGGATTACCAGACATCAAAAGAAAAGGGTAGATATAATAAATTGAATAATGTGACCCCACAAAAGATATCCAAGTCCTAACCCCTGGAACCTGTGAGTGTTTCCTTATACGGCAAAAAGAACTTTGCAGATGTGATTAAGGATCTTAAAGCGGGGAGGTTGTCCTGAATTATCCAGGTGGATCCTAAATGCAAACACAAGTGTCCTGATTTGACTAAGAAGAGAAGGAGAAGGCAATGTGACCACAAAGGCGGAGATGGGAGTGATGTGGCCCCAAGCTAAAGAATGCTGGCAGCAAGAATCAGGAAGAAGCAAGGAACAGATTCTCTCAGTGCTTCCCGAGGGAGGATGGCCCCCGAGCACCTAGATTTCAGCCCAGTGATACTGATTGCAGGCTTCTAGCCTCCAAAGCTACGAGAGAATAAACTTCTGCTGTTTTATGTAGTATTTGTAGTAATGTGTTTTAGGAGCCAGAGGAAACTAACAGCATGGAACTGGGCCTCTGAACAAACTGGAGATGATTCCCTTTGCTCCTGAAAACCTCCTCACCCGACAGGGTCTTGCATGATCTGATCCCTGCAAACCACACCCCCCACCTCTTCTCCCCCCACCATCCCTGAAACTGACTCCACTCTGGCCCCACCTGGGCCTTGGCCACACACGTCGCCTAATTCACCCAAGTCTCTGCTTAACTGTTTCCTTCAAGAGGCCTCCTGGACAGCTCCGTCCACCGTGACATCTTCCTCCTTCTCATTTCCCATTTGCAGTTGACATTTTCTTCCCAGCACTTGCTGCTCCAAGTGAATGCCATCCCATGTGTCTGTTTCCTTGATGGCTATTCGCTGTCCCCACTGGAATCTGAGCTCACCCAGGCAGGAACCTAACTTTTCACTATTTTAGCCCTTTTCATTCAGTCATAAAAAGTAGCGGAAGGCTAACAATGTTCCAGGCAGATGGTGGAAGGTGGGACTGGGGAAAGGCTAGGATGGGAACCAGGCTGGGGAAGAAACTTGGGGAGGAAGTGAGCTTTGGAGGGTAGGGGTGCGGGAGTGGGGTTAGGGGTGAAAGAGGCAGGGCTGAGTGGGTCAGGAGCTGCTGCTGATGGTGCATCTTCAAGATAGGAGTGAGCCTGGAGGCTGCAGTGGTGGTGGGACTTGGGGATGGGGGCAAGTGGGCAGGCAAATGGAGGGAGGGGCTGGAGGTAGGAAAGGGGGCGAGGAATGGAGCTGGGCCTTCAGCACCACCCCTACCCAGTTTTGTTAAGGATATTTAGGTAAGTGTTATGGAAAGGTAGTTTCAACTTCACACCTTCACATCCCCTTCTAATCAAACTGTAGCCCTAAATACCTCCAGATCATCTGGAGCTAGCTTCCAGAAACCAGACAAGGAAGCACTGTCCTACAGGCCAAAGAGAGAGAGAGGGTGATGTAGTGGTTAGGAACATACTGGGTGCTCTGGAGGAAAAAAAAGAGAAAGTAATTGGAATAAAATGATCTGTATTTCAATCCTCAGGTAGGTAAGTGAGGTGCAGCCACCTCACCGGAGACCATGTGTTTGCAGTTCCCAGGGTCACCATTTCTCCCAGCCACAAAGGCAGCTATTTTATGGAAAATGAACATTTGTATTTATTGAAATTAGGTCCTATCCCACAGTCAGCTGAACATTCCTCCGGGGTTGCGAATGAAAAATATCGCCTGCCATTTTATCAGTAAACAGAGGATGTTGCAGCCATCAAGACATCACAGTGTAGCTGCTCCAGTGGTGCGCCCTGAGGGAACTAAGGCGCCTGCTGCCAAGCCCTCAGCTGCTGCAGCCACCCCCAGGGTGCCCCCTGAGGAGACTCAGAATGGGAAGCACAGGAAACTGGCCCTAGACAGCTAAGGTGCATATCAAACGAATGATTTCCATGAGCCAGACTCTTCCTATACATAGAGAAGTGCTAAATTCCTTAACTTGAGATATCTGGTTTTCTTTATTGACAGTAGTCTTTCATACAGGCACCGTAGTGTTCATAGTAGCACTATTTACAATAGCCAAGACATGAAAGCAATCTAAAAGTCCATTGACAGATGACTGGATAAGGAAGTTGTGATGTGTACACACACACACACACACACACACACACACACAATGGGATACTACTAAGCCATCAAAAAGAACAAAATAATGCCATTTGCAGCAGCATGGATGGACCTGGAGATTGTCATACTAAGTGAAGTGAGCTAGAAAGAGAAAGAAATACACCATATGCTATCACTTACACACGGAATCTAAAAAAAAAAACAAAAAAACAGACACAAATGAACTTATTTACAAAACATAACAGACTCACAGACATAGAAAACAAACTTATGGTTACCAGGGGAATAAAGGGAGGATGAAGGGATAAGTTGGGAGTTCAGGATTTACAGATACTAAGTACTATAGATAAAATAGATAAAACAATAAGGTCCCACTGTTTAGCACAGGGACTATATTCAATATATTATAATAGCCTATAATGAAGAATATGAAAAGAAATATCTATCTGTATATATGTATGACTGAATTACTAAGCTGTATACCAGAAATTAACACATCATAAACTGACAATATTTCAATTAAAAAAATAATCTTTGATCTTCCCCACTACCTAGTCTTTGTTGCAAAAAGTCACATATCCTGGATCCTCCCCTACCTCTTCAGAGCAGTCCCTTAGTGCTACCTGAGATGCTGCCTCCTGGGCTTAAATTCTTCAGAATGTCTGATGAATAAAACATAATTCTCAACTTTTAAGTTGTGCCTTTTCTTCAGTCGACAGGGTCCAAGTACCTGCCCTTTATCCTTGTCAAATTTTAAATCCTATCCAGAGTTCTGCATTCTATACAGATTTCTCACCTGGATATGCAGCTACTCAAGGTTTCATTTATTCACTCCTTCATTAATTCAGCAAAGAGACATTAAGTGGCTGTTTAATGCCAGTGACTACAAATCATGGGAGATAAAATGACAGCTAACACTTGCTGGGACTTACTAAGTGTGAATCAGTGCTCGCAGTAGTTCACATTGCTGCAGAAAAATGTATTACAGCTCGGTGTTACAGCTCAGTTGTGACAGCAACCTGAATCAGCACAAGAGAGCAACCAGCACTCAGAAAGTCAGAGAACTCAGCTTTAATACGCCAGCGGGCCCAGAAAACTTAACACTCCAAGCTCTGGACCCTCTTTGTAGACACAGGCTTTTATAGGCTGCCAG